TGTGTGTGTGTGTGTGTGTGTGTGTGTGTGTGTGTGTGTGTGTGTGTCTGCCCAGCTGCGTGATACATCCCTAAGCGGTCAGACACTTGGCACAGCAGACAGAGAGCTGTGTGGCAGTGTGGAGGATGCGCAGCGCAGACCAGCTTTCAGAGAAGAAAATCTTGGCTTTCCTTTTCCAATGGGCTCTGTTATAACAGCATGCCGACTCAATTAAGGTACCAGTGGTAGGTTGTAATTAAGTTGGGAGTTTTCTCCGGGGCCGAGCCAGAGGCAGTCCTGTTGTATGAAGCGATGCAGTAAATTGAAGATGATTCTACAGAAGTATATTATTTTTTTGTTATTGTTGATGCTTTTTTTATAAATGATCTGGTCTGTGCTCCCAGCGGTAAAAATAGTCTTCTCCCTCAGCTGATTCTGTGTCTGTTTTCGAGCCTCTACAAAGACCAGCAGCTGCTGAGTCACCATGTAGAGAGTTTTGGTGGCTCGCTTCTGGTGATGGAAATAACGGCGCCATTAAAGGCTTGCACCGTTCAAGACATGCGGTCTGCGTTGAGCTTGCTTAACAGAATTGTTTTGTGTTTTTCGCCTTGATGTGGTCTGTTTGGGCTTGTATGCTCTCTATGCATACATTCTGGTTCATTTTGACTATCTATAACCCCAAGAAGCATAGGATAGCATCTCCTTTCATGTGAGGGGAAGGTTTCTCTCATCAGAAACATGCACATTTCTGTTTGGGCTTTGAATATGAAACATGTTTAGGGTCATAAAGAGGCTAACTTATACTGCTACAGCCTACATGGAACTGTTCAATGTTGATGTACGGTAAAATGAGGCTGATTAACTAGTGTTTGCTGGTAAACCAACCTCACTGTTTTTATTGATCTCAAATTTCACTTTGTATCAACAGATGTTGTTTGTAAATCGTCTGGCGATTCAGTATTGATTTGTATCTAAATATAGGCCAAGGTTACATATAACATTCTAGACCCGCCACAGGTTCCTCCTACACATTGAATGCAGTGTCTTGCCGTACGATACAGTCTATTCATCACCCTGTGACCTCCGCTCCAGAGGGGATCAGTCTCAGAAGGACTCATTTAGTGATGAATGGTAATCCTTTAAAACGTCCTTGTGAACAGCTCCACACTTTTTTATTTCCTCACATATCAATTTTAAATTCTGGTCATTCAAGGCCCACGGAGCTTAACACAGTTTCTATCTAAAATGATAAACTGATGACATTTTGGACCGACATGGATCCAAACTGCACATGATTGGTTTGCAGAGGCAAACAACCGTGAGGCGATTAACTTCAGAATAAAGTATTACCGTTGATGTAATGCCGTTGTCGTTCATGTCCAGTCATCCTGATATCAGATCCTAACACATTGAAGGTATTCACGTGTGTAAAGGCAACTACTTTTCTAAATCATTGGTGATTAAAATAAATCCGATTGAGTGATAACAGTTAATAGAAGCAGCATTGTAATCCCTCATCCCTGTGATGTACTTTGTTTGAAGTCGGTGATGAATCTTTCTTTCATTCAATGCTAAACTGAAGCATTCTCTTTGTTCCTCTGCAGATGAGTCTCTGTTGGCCTCCACAAACCACCCCGTGGGATTTCCTGGACATGGTCCAACAGGGTTCAAACCATCCGCCTTACCAGCCTCATCGTATACTGCCTTTGAGGACCCACACTCACCTGGTGCCCCGCCATCCATTTCTGAACCAAACCATGTAGTTAGGACTGCCGACATGACGCATTTTCAGTGGGGACGTGTTGCTTTCGAAAACTCCAAATCCTTGGCAGCAAGTGAAGTCCCTGCAGAAGAACCGCATCCTCTGGCCACTCCATCACTAAGCCCCTCTGAACCTATATTGGGGTCTAGTCCACAATTGGAGGCCGCTAAATTCTTCACGGACTGGAAGCTGGCCAGTACAAAGTCTTCCATGCAAGCTTTCTCTCTCTCTCCAACTCCTACAAGATCCCAGCTGCAGCCTCAGTCAAATACATCCATGGCGTCATTAAGCCCCTCAACAAGGTCAACGACCCCTCAGCCGGATCCTAATTCTGAGCAGAAAACCATCAACAAGCAGCAGAGGGGTGCATCAGAGCAAACGGAGGCAATCGTGACCTCATTTCCTGTTCAGCCTCTTGAGCCCCCTAAACTGTCTTTCACTTACTTTGCGGCAGATGAATCTTTTAGTAGAATCCTGGATGTGAACCAGCTGAGCCCCAGCAGCGCCCCCTTGAAGGACAACAAACCAACGCGTGACATCAACAGTCTACCGAACCCTGATGAGATTCTGGCCCCTGGCTACGATGTGCCTTTCATCGCCCCCCAGCCTACATCACCTTCATCTGAACCCACTGAGGTCCCTCTAGAGGACTTCTACCCCACCAACACCATGGAAGTGGACTGGGGATCTGGAGACTACTTGGAGACGATGTCGTTCCTAAATGCAGATGAAGAGGACTACTCTCTGGTCACAAAGGTGCCCTCTGACTCGTATGATCTGGAGGACTATACGGAAAGCTATGACACATCCTTCCCTTCCAGAGTGGGCGTATCCCCTTCGTCTTTGCAACCTCTTCACGTCTCACGTTCTCCCAGCCTCACCACGGCCTACAGCGCCACTGTTCCACTTAAATCCGTCGATCCTACCTCTTTGTCCTCTACAGTTCATTATACACTGGACCCCACTCCCACAGCTAACAGCGATATGCCGGACGCATCAGACCTAGATTGGCCCGATACTTTCACAATTCAACCGACAGATGTTCTCTTGCCTGACATGAACAGCTTGGAGTATTACGTCACCCAGTTGACCAAGGAGAGCAACGGTTCGGACACCGGAGCTGAACACAGAGGGAACGTTACCGTGGTGTCCGTCAGTGCTACAGACGTCACACCCACAGGCAGCGCCACCAATGACACCACATTGACTGAGGACGAGTCCTCCAGTGATCCATCAGGGTTTGAGCCTAAAGATGAGTCAACCCCAGTAGTAACAACAGAGGAGAGTCCTCAGCTGCTCAACGCCTCTGAGCCTTTTCTGGATCCGTCCATTGTCCCATCCCACTTCTTTGATCCGTCGTCTTCCACCTGGGGCGGTCAGGTGTCCACCACAGTGTGGTCTGCACACACTCTAACTGTTGGCCTGGACAGAACTGTGCTAACAGAAGCTATGCTACCCAGTGTCACGCCTTTGCTGCCAGATGATGTCATATTTTCCTCCTCTCTGACAGACGTCTATTGGTTTGCTACAGAGTCCTTCCCATCGAGCACCATACACACCACTCCAGTCTTAACTGCGACCGTAGCCTTCTCCACTGTTTCCACTGAACCTGCTGCCAACACCACGGTTGGTATGACAGAATTAACACCCCAAGACCCTACTGTCACGACTGAACAAACTCTCAATGTAACTTCAGTTTCTACTGAACCCACATCTAACATCACTTCGGGCGTGTTGGGTGATCAGGGTGTGACTGAAGATCGAGTTGACGTTCCAGCCACAATGACCTTGATCCCAACTAGCAGTGAAGCTAATACAGACTCTGCTGTACCCGAAACCACAGCTGCCACCTCCACTTCCCATCAAGCCACAACTAGAGCTACTGCCACCACTGAAGTCTCAACTAGTGTCAACGTCATCTCCAGCACCAGTGGAAGGACCACAACAACAGCACCAACGTCAAGAACGTACCTCTGCAACCTTGACAGGCCTGCTTATTTAGTAAAAATTGGTATGTTTGACATTTAATTATGCTTTGTGTTATATTCCCAAAAGAAAAATGTTATCCACATGTAAAATCTGCAAATTGTGACGGAAGAATATGATTTTTTTTTTTAAATACATGCTTATGAAAACTATAATGGAATAGGCCATGATAACATGCTCGTGCTTTTTTCTGAAGGTTTTCCTTCCGGGGCCACTGTTGGATATGCCAAATCTCAAGTGAGAGACATACTGAAAGGAGAATTCAACAAGTCTATGGAGCTGCAGGTATTTAGGATATTCTATTAATTTTAAGGTAATACTCTGCAAGATGTTAGTCTTCTTTTTGGCAATAAAGAAGGGCCTTTAAGGGCAACATGGGCACAATTTGGTGTAAAAGAGATCCTACTGAGGTGGATGGTCGTGTAAAAGGTCCCCACATACAATATGTGTGTATGTTGTTTTCTGGTGTGTCGGTTGTGTGAATATGTATGTACTGTATTTGTGTGAGTGTGTACATCACAGTGGTGCAGATGAACCACAAGGCCAGATCACGTCCTGAGTATTTTATCAGCGGTTCTGTGATAAACAAACCGCAGGAGTAGTCATATCAAGACCACGGTGACCTTTCAAAAACACCAGCTGCTCATTAAACACAAGTCCTTTAACTGTGAGTGAATGACTCCAATGGGGGATTCGACGATGTCATGTATTCTTGCTTCGCCTCTGAAGGTGGTGGACCCCCCACCAAAGTTTGTGTTCCGGGTGGTGTCTGGTCCAGTTGTGTACACGGCCATATCCGTCATCAACGCTCTGCGAAGGTCTGGACGCCGCTTCCTGTCTCTGACTCCGAACTGGACGACACCAGACCGTAAATATCAAGTCCACACAGGTAAACGACCTTTCAACAAGCTGCCAAGATTTTTAATTATATGTGATAACCTTCATTTTTTTTTTTAAACCTGATCTAAATCTCCACTTGTCTTCACTCCGCGCAGTGCTGCAGTTTGTTCCCGGTCACATAGATGTGCGCTTCTGCAACTTCAGTGAGAGCATTGAGAAAGGTTTGACCATGGCCTTTGCAGAAGTGCGTCGGCGCTCAAAGGAGTCGACCAACTTCACGGTGCATGTGAGTGGGACCAGGAAGCAGCGAGGCTTGATCCGCCTCACTCTTGCATTGCACTGAGATGATTTCATTAGGATGCGTTTCATCGATGCTCAATGACCCAGTGACCATAATCTTGAGCCCTCTGAGTAGAAGCCCTTAAAGAAATCTTAAAAAGCTAGTTTATTAAGATTACTGTTTGCTATAAAGCCGAAATTACTAGTTTGGTTTGACAAAGTGAGATTCATGCTAAATATATCAATCCATCCATTTTCCATAATTCATTAGGGTCTGGGTGGTGACCTCACTGTCCCCGTCCATATTCTTTATTTCTTGTTGGATCTCATCCTCATAAGATGCCCAGAGACCCTCAGTTGGCTCCTTTCATCACAAAAGAGTCTATTCTACTACAAGCTTCCTTTTGATGTTCGAGCACCCTGTGGGTAAAGACACTGCAAAGGAAGCTTGTTTTTGGCAGCTTTTTCCACAATCTTAGTCTTTCAGGTCACTACACAGATGTTATGAGCATGGGCACCTTAAAACGCAGCTCCTTCCTTACTCTGACTGTCCTCACTAATAATCCTTCCCACCTCATTGTCCATCTTACCATCACTCATGAACAAGACGCCAGAAAACACCACTTGGATCCTCATACTTGAGTATAAAAGAAGCTTACTGTTTGTTAATAAAGAGCTTATTTGGCTGTGGTTAGTTGGCTTCGGTAGAGTTTTGTGTAATCCTATTACACTGATGCCTGTATTATCTTCTTTTAGTTGGAATAAGTATTAAATCAAGCATTTATTTACTATTTTCCAGCATGGAAATGTTTTATGGACGACTAACATGCTGTGCCCCGGGCCACTCTGCCCAATTTTGTGTTCTACTTTCCGATCACTGAAAGCAATGGTTTTCACTTTGTTTTCACTCTTACAGAGGCAAACAAGCGTTTACACAAACATCAACATCACATTGAAAAAATGTTTCGTACATTCTGTTGTGCAAACATCTGGCCGCTGAACAGTACATCTCTGTCTAATTGTTTTTTTAGATTGTAAACATCACCATGGCTGCTCCTAAATATCAGGAACAAAGGCTGGTGAGGCAGCCAGTGGACTTGACCTTCACAGTGCGCGGTTCCAGGGGCTATCTGGTGGGGTCGGAGGTCAGCAATGCTCTGATGAAGCTCACAATGGTGGAATTCAGCTACTACATGGGCTTTCCTGTACTCCAGATCGCTGAGCGTGAGTAACACAGAGTTGTCTCTCTTTATTTTAACTATTTCCACTTCCTCATATGTAATATTTACTTAAACCTCATGTTGTCCTTTCTCTAACAGCTTTCCACTATCCAGAGTTGAACACCAGCCAGTTGCTTCGCTCCTCCTGGGTTAGAACAGGTACCTGGTTTCAGTGGTGAAAAGCTGCTACGGCTACTTAAGTTTGAGACCCTTTGTGCTTATTCTCTAAATGATGATTCTTGTGTTTGTCGTGTCCTCAGTGCTCCTGGGTGTGCTGGACCAGAAAGTGGGTGAGAGGACCTTCCAAGCCAACATGGAGCGCCGGGTGGCCATGTTGCTCGAGGAGGCAACGGGATCAGTCAGACGTGTTAAGAGAGCTACCCTCATAGGCAACAACAGTGTTCAGGTACTGAATCTATTCATTTATAAAATTTCGAACTCAACATTGGGCTGTTGTGATTATGGTAGTGTCCTTTTTCTTGAAAGTATACAAAATAAATACTAGTTTAATTTCTTGTTTATTACCCAACAAAACTTTCCAAACTCTTTTAGTAAAAGATTACTCCCGAAATCTTGAACGAGCTTCCTTCCTTGAGCGTTTTTACATCGTTATTCCCCGATGAAAGCCTTGAGTACTGAGAGCTCATTATGTGAGCGCTGCAGGGTTTGTAACCACTGAAAGCCCTCCTGCTTTACTAATCAGGCACTCGCTTTTGTGGGTTTGTCCCGCACCTGCTCGGCCCATCTCTGAGGGGACAGGATGGTGCTCTGTCTCCATGGCAACAGCATCCCATTCAGCCCCGGGGGGAGGGGGGGGGGCAAGCCACTCAAAGACCACAACCTCATGAGTCCTTGTTCTTTTTCCTCCTCCTCCTCGTTTCTCCAGTCCTGTTACTTGATGTCTCCTGTGTGTGCCACAAAGCTGCTAAGAGCAGATCAATTATTAACTATTTCTCTTCCTCTGTGTCTGTCTCCTGCAGTCTGTTGTTGAGAGGTTAGACATCACGGAGGTAGAGATACAGAGACATGGGAGGGTGAAAGATTTAGAAATCAGAGGAAGAGTTAAGGCCAAACGCTCAGATAAGAGAGACTTGTTATGGGAGACGAGATGCATATTTGAGCTGACCTCATCAAGTCTGAGCACACATGGTGGTCTTTAAACACGGGGGCTGTCAGAGTACCATTTTTGGTTTATAGTAGCAGCCTCACTCTTTCTGACCTTTCTGCCTCCTGCATCGTTGTCTCCATAAAACCCACAGAGAAATTTAGGAAAACGACCATATCGATGGCGAGACTTCAGTACTCGTCTCTGTGCTAAGATAAGGTCTTTAATTTTAGACTTTGGCATCCCTTCTATCTTTCAAATATGAATATGTTACACACAGAAGCCTCACGTGTTTGTGTTCTTTGTAGCCCTTTTTTTTTTTTTTGCATTTCAAAGACACTCATCTTTGAGTGTCTGTTGAATATAATGAGAGTGAGGCGACTCAGACTGAGCGTCTAAACTTCAGAAGAATCCTTTATCTCGCTCGCTTTAACACACACACGCACATAGACACTATCTTAAACAGATGGCGTAAACAGAGTTTGACAGAATCAATGTGGTGTTGTCACCTTTGAGAATAGCTTATGAGTCTGCCTAGACAGATAAAAGAGGAGGTTGAATCGGGGTCGTGCAATAACACACATTCACCGGGCCGTCCTTTCCACTCTAATACGCATGCATGGACTGGATTAGACCCTGGATGAGAGAGCCGTCCCAGCCGTTTCTCTGTGTCAGCCCAGGCATGACCTGCGCTTTACTCTTTCCAGTAATGCAGACAGCAGACTGTGCTGCGCCTCAGGGCACCCGGAGGGAGACCGCACACACACACACACACATATATTAGACAACATGGAAAAATATCTCAACAATGAATACTCTCATGGGGATACGAGTCAATGTATATCACCAGTGTGCTATTTCTTTATATTTCCCTGTGTGTGTGTGTGTGTGTGTGTGTGTGTGTGTGTGTGCGTGTGTGTGTGTGTGTGTGTGTGTGTGTGTGTGTGTGTGTTTTTGTTTATATAACAAGTTTCAATACATCACATGGCAGCTAAGGTAGCCAAATAGTTGGGGCCTGAATTTTGGTTTCTACAAAATTCCAAAAGTGATTAACGTTACCGAATGCCATAGAAAATGAAGTGCCACACTCTGCATTACAAAATCATCTGTTTTATTCAAACGGGGACACTTCGCTCATTAGGGCCTTCATCAGACTTTACATTTTTAATGTCGAGAGTACAGCGCCTCATCTTCCGTCAATCCTGTCTTCATTTTTGGAAACCACTTTTTCCAGTTGCTTGAGCAGTGAGCAGAGGGAAAATAATTATTTTATATTTTATGACAACAAATGGAAACATCAAAATGATAACACGTTGCACACCTAGACTTGAATTGAAGCTGATGCTAGTCTGCACCTTGATGTGTGTGTGTGTGTGTGGGTGTGGGTGTGTGTTCTCAAAGTTAGAAGTAAATGGGAACAGATACCTAATAATAAAGACCCTCAACAACATGATTGCTAAAAAAACACAAACCAAGAGGATTTCCAGCTTGTGTCCCTGAGCAATGTGAATACGTGGGGAGGTTTATTGAGTGACCTTCAGCCGTTTTCCTCCATCTGGACGTTAAGAGATAAGATGTCACGATGTCTGCCAACTGTTTGAAAGAGTTGTGGACATCTGTGTAATTGTAAGACAGCCAACAGGTATATGGGGCTTTTGAATCCTTTCCACATCCAATGTGTCCTTTTGAATTTGCCCACATGAACCCAACTAATGCCCCCAAACATATAAATAAACAAACTGAAGAGTTTTCACTCATCAACTGTCAGATTCAAGCCTCCTGAACATCACTTTTATCACAAAATAGTCTTACCCCAGTAGCTCAACGCTAATGATGATAATAATAATATCAATAATAATGATACATTTTATTTGTTAAGCGCTTTAAAAGGTACTTTACATGGTAAAAACATCAACAGAAAGGACTCAGGCCTTGGATAACAGTATTCAGAGATGGATTAAAGTTGCTTTTTGACAACGGTTGGCCTTACATCTTATTGGGTGTTAGTTCAAAAACCTGTTATTTTATAAATCTCCCTGACTCTGAACATTTAAAAACAACAGTTATATAGTTAGTTATATAGACAAATGACACACTGTGCTCCCCCCCTTCCCAGGTTGTAAGTGCGAGCCGGCTGGTGGGTGCGGACCACCCCTTGGAGATAGTGTATTTTGTGGAGGGTCCTAGTGGTCAGAGGACGCCTGCAGCTCAAACAGCCAACCTACTCAACAGCCTGGATGTTCAGAGGGCGGCCATCGTCTTGGGATATCGTGTCCAGGGCATTTTGGCACAGCGTGAGTACCACTTGCATATTAGAAAACTGACATTCAAGGGCAGCAGAGTGATGTAGTGAATAACAAGATGGTCCCAGACATGGACAAACTAAATTTTAGCTCCCATGTCTACAAGTATCCACGTTGTCAAAGTGTCCGAGAGCAAGACACAGAGTCACTGGCATTATCCTGGGTGCTGGTATGGCATCCAAATGTTTTTTACCTGTGGATGTAGACAAAAAGGACTTTGTTGTTTTGTTGTTCTATGTCTTTGAACACACTGCACTGCAGGGATTCTTTTCCTTTTTGTTCATGTGAATTGCACTCGATAAATAAACTTTTCAAGGTCTAGTTGCACTAACTGAGTTGAGGTGAATAGGTGTTGGAACAGAGCGACACAAAAATAAAGAGAGACTGGATTGTTCTCAAGCTCCTAATAAGTAATAAAAGAAGAGTACAAGCTAGCTGCTGGCTCCATGTGTTCCTTTGTAACATTTGGGCTAATTACCTTCCTTTTGTACACGCTGTACCAAAAGCCCGTCTTCCTCATTAAGAATCCAAACAAGGGATGAGTGCCTAATGAAAGCCCCCTCAAGGGAGTTCTGTCTCTGTGCCGACTGTGTTCTCTTACGGTGCTTTCCCAGGGGATGCAATGAGTGTTAATTAAAACGAATGAAGGTCTGCATTAAAGATTACAGCAGCGAGAGAAGAGCCAACCATTCTGCATGTGTAGCTTAGCGTTCTCAGGGTGTTGGTGTACGGGCTTTAAGGCAACAGAGGGATATGCTTGAAACATCGAACCACATAGGCAAATGAAATGACTCAATATATTTGTGTCTGAAGCCCGAGCTTCAAACTAAACCCTCTCTGTTACTCGCTCCCTCTCTTTGTCTGTAGCCGTAGAGAAGGCGGCGGCGTTGCCCTCCGACGCCGAGAACACCAACACGTGGATCGTCATCGGGGTCGTGATTCCCCTCATCGTCGTCATCGTCATCATTTCCATCCTGTACTGGAAACTGTGTCGAACAGACAAGCTGGAGTTCCAGCCAGACGCCATGACCTCCATCCAGCAGAGACAGAAGGTAGAGTCGGATCAGTGTCGCACAGAATCTCACGTCACGTCTGACTTCATTGTGTCTCCGTCTTTTCAGATCTACAACTCATTCTTTAAAGACATATTTGAAATATTTAAGTTGACAGTAATTAGCACACCGGTCACCCTTGAAGTGTACCGGCTGCATACAGCTGATGTCTGTATTACAGGTGTTACATTAGGCTGTAGTGATGCTCTGGTCATACTGGTGACTTCGAGCTAGAAAATATCACGGGTTCGGGCGGGTCAAAAATTGACAAAGCAGCGTTCCGAGTAAGTTATTGATTTAAATATAAGATTATATAAATAAGATTAATGTATATTACTTACTTCCTTATAGAAACATTGCGTGCGATAGTCCAACTCTACAGGTGGTTGATAAATGCATATTGATTAACACACTATTAGGTTGAGTAATGCGAGGCAGTCGATGTGCAAAGCCAGAAATAAAGGCCACTTTTAAATTCAGATGAAATTGTAGTTAATTAGGTGTATCAGTCATTGCCATGCGTGTGCTGGAGGACTGTGCAGAATGTGGACCTCATCATTTCCTCTTTTAGAAAGGATTAGTAAAACTTTTATGAGCGAGACTCATTAGAAGAGATGATCAGAAGTCGAGATGCTGCTAGTGCATTTAATGGGCCTTGGCTGCTCCTTTATTTGATTCAAATATTTTTGGATGTTTTCTCACAACCTCTTTCACTTAAAGCGCCAACAACCCTGCCCTTCAGCTCCCTCTCGTCCCATTTTATTTTCAGTTGTGACAATTAAACACTTGTCCTTCCTTTCTGCCTTCACTTGAACCAGAAATAATGCCATTCGTATCGCCTCTCGCTTATTACAAGTACACGTCACTTTTGCCCTGAAGTTAATTGACGTGAGAGAGTTCCTCTCGCTCTATGAGGTCCCTCGTTACACAACATCCTGATGAACAAAATGGTTTTATACATCAATGAAATGACTGAGAACACATCAGTTCACTTTGAGACAAACAGGGTCAATTTTACCAGAGAATTAAAAACCAACAAAGGCTTATATGACACTGAATAACGTTCTGGTGCGCATTCAACACACTGTATACAAAATATCAGAGCTAATGTGTTGTGATGCTTGAAAGCAGTACCAACGCCGAAAGCGAGCCCAGGGGGTTAAAAGCCAAGCTGGAGTGTTTTATGTTCCAAGTTCCTAATTTGTGATGCAGTTTAAAAGTGTTTTTTTACTTTTGATAGTTACATTAATGTGAAGGAGACGTGAAGATTATTTTTGTGTGTCTGGTGAGTTACAACTGGCCTGTTGTGGAGGTTTGTTTGTGTGTTTTTCAGCTTCCTGACTCATTGCTCCGTCTGTGTCTGGCTTTCATTTCCCTCCACTTACATTTTTCATATTGAGTCGAGCTGTGAACTTAACTCTACAGATTGGGCGAATGCAGCTCATCTAATGTGCTGAAGTAACGATCACTTAGCCCGCCCTCTCTGCTTAACACAATCACCTGTCACTCAACACCATTCCCCCTCTCTCAGCCTGCCGCCTCCTTCAGAGAGTCAAGGACCTCTCTTCAGCAGACTCTCCCACCAACGAAAAAGGATATAGGTTTTAGTGAGGAGGAAGAGGAGTATGAGGAAGAAGAAGAGGAGTATGACGAAGAAGAGGAGGAGGAGGAGGAGGAGAAGGAGGTAAAAAGAGGGAAGGTACAAAGCTGTCTGGTGGTTTCTAGAAGCTGTAGAAAGGGCCTAGTCTATGTGTGTTTGTAGTTGTTTAAATATTACACAGTCATGTGAAGAACAACACAGTAATTAATAGTTCATAGTCTTGGTTTTGAATTTTGGATGTCAGACACAGAGTAAAGCATCACTAGAAATATTTATGCTATCCACCATTGCTTCTGCTCAGACACCAGTCGCTCTTCCCAAGAGCAAACGGACAATGAGCAGTGAGGAGGAAGAGGAGGAGGACGAGGAGGAGGAGGAGGAGGAAGAAGAGGAGGAGGAGGAGGAAGAAGAAGAAGAAGAAGAGGAGGAGGAGGAAGAAGACAAAGATGAGGAAAAAGATACATTTCAAAAGAAAGGAGTTAAAGGAGACGAAGAAAGAAGACAAGAGAGCAAAGCAACGATAGTGAAAACAGGGGAGCCGAAGAAAGAAGACAGAATGAAAGTGTTAACTAAAGGGAGGAGAGCCACGGACGAGGTACATGGTGCAGTAGTCGTAGATGCTCGTGCTTGTTTGCGCTAATAGACATTAGGATCCTGCTTTACCCGGTTTGGATGTCCACACTCAGAAAACCCAGATTACAGATTACGGTGGACTTGGTATTGGTGTCTTTATAGTCTATAGATTCCTGATGAACATACCAGATGACTGTGTTGTGAAGTAGTAGATGAATAGACCTTGTTTTACATGTACCAACTGTTTGTTGTGAGTGATTCCCCAATCTACCACCAGACCAGCCTGAGTATTAGTTAGTGAGTCGATGGGGGATGTCACTCGCTGTCAGTCTCAGTGTTAATTCGAATGAAACAGCTTTTACTATTTCAGCTGCAGCTTTCTGAATGCTTTGTTTATGTGCCGCGGAGAGCAGCACGCACAAACATACAGTATCCTCTCTCTCTCAGGATTAGCAGCTTTATACCAACAAGCCTCTTCTAAGCCCGATATTTTGCATCAATAAAGTCGGTGAGCGTACTTATAAGTCAGAGAATTACCAGGAGCCACGTCGTGTCGCTCCTCTCTACATGTTGGGGCACCAGACCAGAGTTTCACAAACTGCAAGCACACACAGTGAGGTGTGACATCCTCTGTTTACCCTTTTGCTGTTGGAAAGTCCCGAGGGCTTTCCACTCAAATAGTCTCACTGCTTCCATCTTCAGCCTCCATCCCCCACCGCCTCAAAGGAGAGCAGCTCAGTGTCTCTCCACATCTCTGCCTGTCCCTCTTTTTCATATTCTGTCTTTTTATTCATTAATGTCTGTCTGAGCCTCCCTTCTGGACATTCATTCATCGGTCATTCAGTCTAATTATGTCTCATGGAAGCAGGGCTGGGTGACAATTCCAGCTGTATATTTTGAGTTGACCTATGTCACACACTTAAATACAAATAAATTTTAAAAAAAGATTGGATTTACAGGTTAAAATGTCATGATGCCAAAGTGTCATATTGAAATGATTCCACTTTAAAATGATGAATACTACATTACTAAATATGTTCCTGTCATTAAGTATATATTACCAGTATTGTGAATCATTTCACACACCCTCTCTGACCCATTTAACTTCTGCTATATGGCCTTCACACTTTATATCCTTTTCCTATGTCCTAGAACTGAATATTCCTTCTCCTCTGCCTCTGTCCTCAGCTGCAGGCTCCCAGTGTGAAAGGATTTGACTTTGCCAAGCTGCACCTTGGCCAGCACAGTAAGGATGACGTCATGGTGATCCAGGAGCCCGCCCCGTCGGGGCCCGGCCCTGGGCCCCTCCCCCTGTCCCTTAAAGATGGCCTCAGTCCGTCTGAGAACGGGGAGATCCCCACACCCATGTCCAAAAGCTCCACCAAGGCGTCCCGCAGCGGCCGCAGACGAGAAAGGTCAGTGCTGCTCGTGGTACCAGGCAGGAGGAGCAACTTAGACTCTAACAGACCAATAGTGAGTCAAAGTAAATATGACACAACAACAGTAAAATAATTAGCATCACCAGTCCATTGCCACCAGATTGCTCTCTTTTCCCCCCCACCACCTCATCAAAACACTTAAATCACAGAAATGTGTTTTGTTTTTTTAACCCTCTACGTTATGAAGGTAATTTAGACATTTAACAGCCTGTTTTTGTTTTTTCACCCCATCGCTCTGATTCTCCACCTCAGTTGGGACAGTCAGTCAATCTGACAGAAAGCTTTTGACAGATCCTGCGTTTAATTATTGATGCTCTGGAACTTTATGGTCTCCGTTCCCTCCGGCAGACTGTCTATTTTTCTTACAGTATATCAATCTAAGGTATAAACCCTTCTGTTCTGCTGTTAGATTTAGATTTGTCCTTATTTTAGGTACTTTAAATTAATATACACATGCTATATTTACTTGAAATGTACAGTTATATTTGTAATGACAACGTAAATGAATATGTGCATCATTACCAACATCTCCCAGAACACTACCTGCTCTAGTTATATGTAATGAACATAATATAAAACAAATTGGCACAGCAGTTATTTAAAGCATAAACTTCTGTCTTCATTAATAATGTCCATTACACCGGCCTTGTTTCTCCTCACTTGACAGCCAGCCAGGACAAATTCATCAGGAATTTAATAATTCCGTCAGTGGAAACACTTTTTAGCATGTGGCACTACAAGCTTCAAATCATATTAGCATTTCTTAGAAGTCTCCTCAGCTTTCATCGTTCTGGAAAAGCACTATTTTTGATTTATGCATGGCATTTCAGCATGTTAGTGTGTTCTTGGGCTTCTATTATTTACGTGTGCGTGTGTGTGTGTGCGTGTGTGTGTGTGTGTGTGTGTGTGTGTGTGTGTGTGTGTGTG